AGGGGTGTGGAGCTGGCACTGAAAGAGTCACTGGGTAAAAAACATGCTCTTAAAGGGTCTATCCTCTTGAGAAAGGAGTTGAGGGGGTGACAGAGAGGCTTACAGAGTGGAAGAAAGCATAGAGTTCCACCTACAGCGAGGTTTTGCCTCCCTGGCTCATCCACAGTTCACCCAAATCCCAAGGCCACAGTAGAAGCATTTGCCTTCTCTTTTTCCATATATATGGTCCTCGCAAAGGCCATTCATCTCCTGTCTTAAAATTTCCTGAAAAGGACATTAAGGTTAGCATGATATCACTTTGAAATTATACTTATTTGAAATAGACTCAGGCTGAATTCTTAAGGTATCATGCCTGGTAAGCTTTTCCTGTTCCATTAAGTGGGAAATTATAAAACCTAGAAATTGAAATTTAAACTTTCTTTCAGAATAAATATTTTAAAGAAACAAAAAGCGGGTGATGTGTCTGAAATATTTAGTGCCATTGAAGCTTTCATGTTCTCTGGTTTTCTTCTTACTTTTTATTTTAGTAAAATAGACTATTGCTTTTTCATTTTGATCTTCTTACATATACTAGGGCTACTTAAAGGCATATTTATTTATCATCCTATCTGCTATCAGTAAGCCAATCTACAGAAGTCTTTTGAGAATAGTAATAAAATTATAAAAAGTCCTTTACTTCAATCTCTTCCACCAAGTAAGATTTCACCCAAATGATTCCCTCCAATATTCATTCAAAATAGAAAGGCCAAAAAATTTCAAATCAGAGCCTAGAGCTCAGCATAGAGAATGCAAATACTTGAGAAATTTCCTAGTGAAAATTGAGGTTGAAGTATTACAGCATTGGGTGTAGGATTTTAAAATGTCCACACTTGGAGGCGGCCAAGGAAAAAAGAGTGAGGAGTATCCAAAGAAATTAGAAACAAAATAAGATAATAATGGATCAAAGTAGTTACACGGATAGAAAATCATGAGAAGGAGGAGTAAGCCAGCAACACTGCTGTGTAGTAAGTATATAAAAGAAAAAATGCATGAGACACTGTTTGACTAAATGACCTGTAACTTTTTTTTTTCTTTTTGTATGACACTGGAGATGAAACACAGGCCCTCACACTGAGCTACATCCCCATTCCTGTCTATTTAATTTTGAGACAGGGTCTCAATAATTCTGGGCTCCCACTTGTAATCCTTTTATCTATGACTTTTAAAGCTTTGCTTTCTTCACCCCACCCCAGAATAGGTGAAGGAATTAATAGACTGTAGCTGAGATATGTTTCAAATTAATTTCTAATAAAAGGTTTTATAAGTCAGTATCATTTATCCAACACACAAATGTTTGATGTTGCAAGATTGTGAACTTCTAGAAAAAAGTGTTATATTTCTTAAATAAGCTAAATTGTCCAGCACAGTATCAGGCAACCAACAAAGATATAATAAATATTGTTAAGTCAGCTGGCCAGCAGGAAAATTATATTATCTGATTAGGACCTGGTGTGATAGAGATTATCAACCTACTGTATTCCTCATTTGAAATTGGGAAACTGAGAGGAGAATGAAGTCAATGTTGATTTCAGTGACAAAAGTGTGAGTTTACTTTACCAGAATTTGAATCAAGAAGAAAAAATTCTAGTTGAGTAGTAACCGAGTGCCTTGGTATTAAAAACAGAATTGAGTGAACCAGGGTAAAAAAAAAAAAAAAAAGTCAAAATGTTAGCTAGCAATTTCCAGTCTCCATGAGTTCCAAGATACGGGCAGATATTCCTGACTAATATATGCCATCACAAACATGAGAAAAATGTATTTCTTGAAATATCTCAAGCATGAACTATTTGCCACATCTATTGCCTATTCTTAAGTCACAGGGTTTTATAGTTAGTGTGATCTGCATACTCAAAACTATAATTTTAATTCTCATTGAACATGTTCCATCATAGCTACTCATTTTAACTGTAGAATCCTAAATTATTTTCAAAATTTGATCATATTTTACAATCTAGATTGTAATGACAGCATGGAAACCACACCATACAAGAGACTGGCTAGAAGTGGATGGGAAAATGGTCCAATAAGTAAAAACTTGAATTGGCAATAAATATCAAGATTAGCAAATGGAATTCCAACATAAGGTCATGGCCTAAATTCCACTCAAGAGAAGTGAAAAAATAGCAGGCCCAGCTCCTAAAGAAGGTTTATATCTAAATATTCCTTTATCGCTCCTCTCAGAGCAATGTGATGGCCTTATGCCAAGGGAAGACTAATGCTCTTCCATTAAATAATTGCAATACTAACTGGAGGAGATAGCATTCCCAGCCTCTTAGAGAAACCCAAGTCAGCGAGCCCAGCACAGCAGGAAGAAAGGGACTGGAGGGCTGTCAGCTGCAAGCCCCAGACCCAAGTAGGCTTCAAACCAGGCAAGGTGCACCGCAGGTGGAGAAGCTCTGCTCCAGTCTCCTGGACACCACCTCCAGGGGAGAAGCCACGGATAGCTCCCTTGTACCAAGCTGCCTCACTAAGAAGCATCAGCATTCAAAGGACTTCAATTTCTAGTTGCATTTCTTCTCACACCATGTTCAACATGCCCACCAAACTCAGTTTCCTGGGAAAATTGTAAGTTGTAAGAAAACCACAGCATCACAAATAGGAATCTGAGCAGACTTCGTGTGAGAATGTTATTTAAGTGAGAGAATATCTTCAAAAGGAAATAAAATGTCTAAACCTGGAATACTGAATTTCTAAGACTAATATTATTGATAAAGGTGATAAAAACTATTACCTGATTTATTTCTCTCATGCTATTTTCAGTGATCAATTTTTGTGAAAATTGAAACACGGCTATTGGCTTTTCAGGCATTTTTAAAAAAAAAAAAAACACACACATTAAGAAAAAAATATGCAGGTCTAATAACACGTTGCTACATGTGAAGACCAAATAAGGTACATGGACACATTCAATGAATTCAATAAATAAAATGTTCAATAAATTAGTTTCTTATTTCAAATCACATGGAAAGAAACCCAGGAAAAGACATTTATGCACTATACGATATATAGAATGTATTATACCACAGATTGTCAAATATATTTTACTATACTCATTCTCTGTAGTACTTCCTTTAAGAGCAAGATAATAAAAAGTTCTGTGATGACAGTCACTTCATTTCTCTAGGGCTCCACCTGTGACGACTCAATACAGGGTCCAGAATCCAGTACCCAATTGGGCGGTGAATAGGTTCAACAGGGTTTCCAGTTACAGGTGGTTCACTAAAGACAGGTGAAACTGTCCAAGGAAGGGTCTGTCAGCAGCACGAAAACAAAGATCATCTTCTGAGATTTAAAGCATAATTAAAGAAATTAAAGCCCAGAAGTGTCTTAAGCACAAGAAAACAGCACTAGAGCTTTTAAAAATAAATTAATTTAAATAGGAAAGTATAAATGTTGCCATTTGGAAATAATTCAGGTCTCAAAGGAGTGGAGGAGGAGATAATGCCCACTTTAATTTCCTTCAGATTTAGCTAGACTTTAACTATGTTTAATGATTCGGTCTTTAAGGTACATCATTTACTTTAAAAGGGATATAATCAAAATGGAAAACTCAAGCTTTATTTTCTAAGTTGGCGACTTCTCTTTTGTTTCACACCCATTACCTTTTAATATTGCTACAAATCAATTCATTCCCTGATGATCAAAGAGCTAAAATGGCTTGTGCTATTTCATCCATTCCACATTTGCCTGGGATCCTGAAATTGCTCCAGTATGCTATTAGTTCAAAAGCTTTTCGTGGTAGTTCCTGAATCTCCTCCCAGGCCCTTCTCTCCAACACATGTGCACACACACACACACACACACACACACACACACACACACATGCACACATGCACAGCTTTTCTCAAACTGCTTCATAACCTTTAAGACCAGAGAAGCCCAGAGACCAGCTCTGTGCTGTTTGATCATGCTCTGTGGTTCCTCCTCTGGGGCCCCCACTCTGATCCTCTGCCACGGCTCTATGCCTATATCTAAGAAACTGTAGTCAGCACAGACAGGGACCAGTTGACAGTAGACTGTAAACTCTACGTGTGTTCTTGTGTGTGCATTGTCAGAGATAGAGACAGAGAGAAAGAGAGAGAGAGAGAGAGAGAGAGAGAGAGAGAGAGAAGAGAGAGAGTATGTGTGTAGAGGAAATATTTTGTTTCCTGCATGAAGGAAGAAGTTGAATGCATTCCTCTGGTTTATTATTGTTGGTGTATTAGAAACATCAGCTCAGAAATTTATATGTGCCTGATACATTAATAGCACGCAGGCGCCAGGTTTATATGGGTGAAATTAAAAGTTCTGGGGCTTGTGAAGAGGACAGTTACTTAAATCAGCATTCTAGTGAGAGATAGGATCCAAGCTGTGTCTTTGAAACTTTGGACAGAAGCGTTCTCCGACTGCCCATACCCGACGAGTAGTGCCAGCAGCCCTGAGAAACGCTGGGACAGAGGGAAGGGAGGAAGGCGCCCATGCCCGGTCCCTGGGAAGGTAATGCCAACCAAGGAATCAGTTGGCAAGTCCTGGGGCAATCAGAGAGGCATAATTCGACCTATGTGCACGCTCCTTCCTCTCTCTCTCCCCCACCCAGCCACAGACACACCTACCTAGCAAAGCACCAGGTTTTGCAAAATAACAAACCACACTCTCTGGCAGGTAGCGGGCGCACACCGGACCCCATGCACACTGCTCAACCTTGCTTAAGCTCCTTTCTTTCACGCAGTCAGCACACCTTGACCAGCCCGACCCGACTCCCCCCAAACGCGCCTCGGTCTGGCCTCGGGATCGAGTCAAATTTGCCAGCAGTCCGGCCCATCGGCAGAGACCAGGCAGCCTCTCCGCTCCCTTTGACCGCCGTCTGCCTCTGCGGGCCACTAACGAGGCCCGGCTGACAACAGGCTGGATTCGGGGCCCCTCCGCGCCCCAAATCCGGGACCACCCGGGACCACCCGGGACCGCCCGCGCCCAGCGCTTACTTGAGTGGCAGGTGTGCACGCGGCTGCGCTCCTGCTCGCTGGCTCGCTGGCTCGCTGGCTGCCTTTGTGGCGGCGCGGTTCGGTTCGGTGCGGTGCGCTGCGGCCGGTCCAGGTGCGGCCGGCTGCTCCTGCCTGGGCGGCGGCTGCTCTCCCGCCTCGCCGCGAGCACTCACTGGTTTCTTTCTCCCCCTCTCTCCACTTCGGGTTTTCCTGGGCTCTGGGGCTCCCTTGGCGGGATTTTTGGACTGGAAGGCGGGGAACTTGATCCTGCCTTGGACTCGATTACGCCCTAGCAGGGAGGGAAAGCAGGAAAAAGGAGAGTGGGAGGGAGGAGAGCAGCGAGGGGCAGGGAGGACCGGCTGGGGCGGGCTGGGAGGAGAGCGCTCTGCCCCCAGCGCTGGGAGCTCAGGAAGAGCAATACTCCGGGGGCAGCGTCTCCCCGCGGAGCCAGAGGGAGGCTTAGCTCCGGGAGGCAGGAGATGCAAGAGCGCTTTGTTTTTAGCAAAGACTCAAAATGTCACTGGTTTTGCAAACTTCATGAATGGTCACATTGCTCTTAGCGTATCTTAAATGGACAATCGATGGGTACTGTTTTGGCCACACAATTTTTTAAATGATATTCAGGTTGTGGGGGGAAAAACTGTCTTCAAACCTGCTGCTCCTTCCTCCCAACCCCCCAAACCCTCCCTATGCCAAGCGCCCCATTTGTTAACTTCCGCTGTCACGCGCAGCCCACCTGCAATCACAAAAACCTGCAAAGTTATTTTTCTGGTTTGTCAGGAAGAGTGACAGATGCCTCAAAGTTCCCAATTAAGCGCTGCTTTCCTTTGGGGGCTTATTTCCTTTCTGACCTATTTAGAGAGGTACTTTTGAGACACAAGAATTCAGGGGTTTGTCCATGTAGCTCAAACCCAGGGTCTGTAAAACTAGGAGGCTTGACTTTAGCTATCTGGAATGTACACCCTACTCAACTGAGGAAAGATGCGAAATTAATATATCAAGGATCTTTTGAATGTTTTGCGATGAATATTTAAGACATTATATAGCTATTATGTAAAGTGATGAATGTAAACTCAATTTACTCACCCTCAAAATAGAAATTTTGGATTTTTCTACCATTCACAAATTCTTTCTTGTTTCACAACTTCCCTTTGACTTGATCTTTTAACTTCTTTCAGTTTATAAATTCATCTGCTTCAAATTTGTTGTAAAATATATTTCCATTCCCATAGTTATGACTTTACGTTGTTAGTAATTTCTGACCTCAATTTTCCTCCTCAGAATTGTGCAAAAGACCAAACAATGCCTGAAAATCAAAGAAGGATCTTATTTTTGACCAAGAGTAGAAGTGAGAGGTCAAACTCACAAATCGCCTTCTCAACCCAGTGTATATCAGGCTTTATAAGGGTAGCATGAAAGAAATCAATAAGTGATAACCTAAGAAGGTGGAGAGATGGCTGTCTTTTCTAGGAATTTTGATGCCGCCTCTTTCTGCCCATGAAAATGATTCTTCGGAATCCTTATCATGCCAATTGTACACTGTCATGGTGCCGGAGGAATTACAGTGTGTGCAGATGGAATTACAATGAAGTAGAGGATCCTTGGTGGTCCCTCTGGCCACCATCTGAGACCCAACCATTTTTGGTTTACAAGCTTCAGTGTTATAGGTATCCTGTCCCTACACATAAACAAGATTGGCTGGGGGTGGGGCAGAGATTCAGTAAGGCAGTACAAGATTAGAAACATCTCTTTGATTCAGTTTGACAAGAATTTGTTAAGCACTCAATGTGTCTTAAAGTTTCTATATCTCATGATCATTTCTAAACCTTCGAATTAGAAATACTGCTTTGTGGTAAGTAGTTTTTAGGGACTTCTTGCTCTTCCATTGACTCCTACAGTGACAAATGTCCCATGGGAGAGTCAGCCAGGTGACAAAGGGGACTTTGCAAATACAACCTCAAAGCAACTAACTAGTTAACCAGTTTTCAGACAGAAGAATATCAAACTGCATCACAAGGCTGGGGATTTAGCTCAGTGGCATAAGCGCCTGCCTTGCAAGCAGGCAGTCCCTGAGTTTGATCCCTGGTACCGATAAAAACAAACAAACTGCATCACATAATTCGAGTCCAGTTCCCAAACCTACCTCCCCATATACGAACCACTCACACGTAAGACAAGGAACTAAGTAAGTTTCTTCCTTACAAACACCAACTTCAAGGTACATGATTTCCTTTTGTGACTCCATTTCCTCTTGAAGTAACCTGTTTTAACTAATATTGGCTTTATAAATTGTGGAGCATCACACGCTGTCATTTTTATTATTATTTTCCCAGGAATTTTACCAAAAGAGCATTTTCTGTCATTTCAAAGGGGCAAAACTTCAAAGCCATTAAATCAAATATTTTTTTCTTCCTAAATTTTATGTCTACCAACATAGCATGTTGCTACCAGTTAGATGAACCATACTGGCTTGTTGGCAATGTTTGGGTTTATAAAATATCATATTTTTATGTTTCCATGAAATTTCCTATCCTGTATGAAAGACACAACTGTTTATTTTATCCAAATAGACATATGTGAAAATTGCTTACATCAGTGAACCTCAGGTGGGAGTGGTTTTCTCCTCCAAGAGGATCACAGTGCTGCCTAGAAGGAGTTTTGGTTGCCACAATTTAGAAGAAGCTACCACCCTGTTGTCTAGTACATCTGAAAAGCAGAGGCCAACAGTGCTGCTAAGCATCCCACCACAAGCAACCCAGGCCCCACCATGAAGAGTCACTTGCTTCAAAATATTAAGGTTCAGACTAAAATCCCTACCTCTATTTACTACTATATTTTAAAAATACCAAAGAAGAAAAGAGTTTGATGTTAGCAGTAAAAAAAAAAAACGCATGCTAATGAGAGTCATCAGAAATTTAGTTAGACCAGCATTTTCATCAAAATTGCAGTAGAACATAATATACGGTAAATGTTTAAATAATTGTAGTAAAAGGCACATTACAACTAATTTCCCTCAGAATACGCCTTTTCTGGGAACACACTTATCCCATAGTTCTTGCTAGCTTTTGAAGCAATGCTGGGAAGTCTTCTTTTGTGTCTTTTTGTGGTTGAATCTTGTGAAAATTTTGTGATAATTTTCATAAAATAAAAATATTACAATGCATCTTTGTCTACGTTATTCACCAGATCTGGCACCAGGCAACTCTTCTATCTTCCCCAAAGTCAAAATGACTATGAAAAGTATTTGTTTTGAATTGACTCCAGACAACCAAGTAGGAGCCCAGATAGCACAATTACTGCTGCATACAAGTGGCAAGAATGACAGGAGAGTGGGTTTGCAGTGAGGAGGAGTCTTTTGAGGGGGGCTAATGGTAATGTGTCTTTTACTGTAATAATGATTTTTTTTTTAAGTTTAAACATCCGTTATACTTTTTTAAATCACATCTTATGGTGAACCTATGATGTGTGTGCCACAGCCAGATGTTTGTTATCATGAAAGCCCTAAAGTGTTCCACCGACACTGCCTTATACCTTTGAATATATCCTGAAATGCTCGATATCAAGTCCCGATTTTATCCTAGGGTATAACAATATTTCATACCATTTCACTCACTTAGTCGACGTGTTTTGAACATATTGAGTAAACAGAAACATACAGAAAAAAATCCTGACTCTGATTTCATTTTTTCTTATTAAATTTTTAAAGAGATATGCTAAATATGACATATTAGATAGATTGTAGAGGAAGATAATGATGGAGATTTGAGAGTGAAAAAACTCCCCTGGGGTGAAATGTGAGTGAGGTGTATTACTTATGAGAGACTTCAGGCCAAGGAATCAATAAATAGGAAGGCTGTGAAGTCCGACCTTAGGAGGTCACTGTGGTTGGGGTTTAGTGGTAGGTATCCAGCACTGTAAGGAGCAACCTGCTGGCACTGTGAGAAATTCCATTTCCCTCTAAGTGACCTGGGAAAACATTGAACAGTAACAAAAACTGACTAAGGTTTAACAAGTTCTCTCCGCTGTGTGAAACAGAGACAGGAGGGCAAAGGAGGCTGTAGAGATCCCAGTAGGAGGCTACAGCAATAATCAACCAACCAAATGGCTTCTGGGGAAGAATAACCATCTCCACATTTGCCCTGTAACACTGGCTCTCCTCACCAGCAGTTTACTTGAGTTGACAAATGCCCCCTCTCCCCAGGGCTCAGCCTTTCCAGGGGTAATTAATGAGCCCCCTGCTTTGAGTGTTCCAGGCTAAAATGTAACTAATGAAAGGTGATTTGAAATCACAGAAATGATAACATTTCCTAAGGGCATTTTGAAAATGAGGGCACACAATTCTACAGTGACAAAATACAAAGAGAAGGGTGATCAGTCTGTAAATTTCAAATTGAGGAAGGATTTAGAAGAATGTTTGTAAGATGTCTCCTGGATTGCCTACTCAGTAGGATGTTTAGATCCCTGATTGCTCCACCTAGTTCCTCTGGATCTCTAGAATGCAAAAGGAAGTGCAACTCTAGAGATACCACAGTTTGACAGAGGCCCCATTCTTATAGTTCTCTTCCTCTCTCTGAAATGTTTAAAAGGTAATAAAAAAAGAAAAAATATTTTGCTTTATTTTTTATTACTGTGATAAGATTATAAAATCAACTTCTATTTTATATATACATATATAATATACTATATATATATATATATATATATACAACCTTCCAGGTAGGTGCTTATGCCACTGAGCTAAATCTCTAGCCCAATATGTTTTTTCATAATGACTATGTTATTTTTGACTTGAAAAATAAAGAAAATGCTAATAAAATAATTGAGGAATTTATCTCTAAACAACATGGTTTTGTAACATCAGTCTTTCGGGTTTTCAAGGACTTAGGTCTATGTTTTGTCTCTGCACTTTTGATTTGCAAAACAAGGCTCTTTAATATGTTGTCAAGTTTCTTCAGGCATATTTGACTTAAAAATACAGACAAGCACCCAGATCTTGGTAAAAAAATAACTCAGCTCACCTAGTTACTTATCCATATAGGCAGCCAAAAATATACACAAAATTTGGCAAACAAATGGCAATACCTGCTAGAAATGCTTGCTGAAATTTTATACATTTGTACTTTATCAGTTAGGCTTTCATGAATCTAAATAGCTAGACTAAAGCCCCTCAACCTTGTCCTACTGAACAAAAACTAAAATAAGCTTTCAAGTTGTCAGTGCAATTTAGAAGAGTAGGACTTAGATGATGATTACTTCACTCAAACTTACACAGAAAATCAGGCTTAAAGTAGCCAAAAGCAACTTGGCCACACATTACAAGTGAATAAAATTTACAGAGAAGTGTCCCTCATGAACATGGGTTCAAAAATCCCTTTACAGATATTATAAAATAAATGCCAAT